GGAACTTATCCTGCACATTGCCACAGTACAGACTCTGGGCGTCCGCTTTGAGGCCTTCGAGCTCAAACACTTCCATCTCATCCCCCGAGAACCGGATGAACCGCGTCTCGCCTATGAACGCCACGCACAGCACATTGTCCTGTCCCTAATAAGCGTAGCAGAGGTCGATGGGGTATGTTTCAATTACTATACTCCCCAACGAGTGTGCTTGTGAAGGGCAAATGGGATATTTATTGTTTGTCATAAGCACACCCATCACGAGCTCTGCTTCTAAAGGATGTGCCGATGATATCCACCTGAAATTGAAAGAATGACAACCACCGCGAGGCAGATGCTAATCGCTCAGAACACGAAATATCATCCTATCAGCGCAAATGTGAATACACACAACAAGTGATCTAAGCACCTCTGCATAGGACATGTGAGAAAGTATTGTACCTTGGCAGCAGCAGAACCCTCTCTCGCGGGCCACACGCCCTTCACACCACATATATCCACAGCCGCATGCTCGTAGATGCCAATGCCGTTGCGGATAACACGTAGTGAACCTGAGCAAGGAGGGACAACGAATGTTGGAGGATGAGAGACCTTCAATGTATCAATAGCGACATGAGAAGCGGTGCTTTATAAGAAACCGTTAAACGATATGATAAGCAAAATATAGTGATAAAGGATAGATGGAGTCTTGCACACTTGAAGGTATGAACCAAGAAAAGCAAATGCTCCGAAAAATTTAAAAAGTACCATAGAATTACTTTCCTGAGTCTAGAGGAGTACATTCCCGGCACAACGAACACCTAATAGATCGAACTACCAGATTATGTTATGTATATGTCCAACCATATACATACCGTCTTTGTTGACCCCTGAGCACGTAACGATCTGGCCCTGTCCCTGTCTGTCCCTATCGAGTACAACCAGGTCAACTATGGGTCCGATGTTCATGAACGTCTCCAAAACATCGAAATATCTGCAAAAGGACCATGAGGGAAGTAAATACTTGGTGTATGATCCAACTTCCGAGACACCCCGGCTACCTCAAATCATCCACGAGAGATTGGACATCCTCTTCCTTTCAAAGATAGTTGCCCACAAAGAGAGAGAGAGAGAGAGAGATATATATATATATATATATATATATATATATATATATATATATAACACACACACACACACACACACACACATATATATATATATAACACACACATATATATATATATAATAA